TCAAATTTCAAAATTCTATTATTTGCTTGCTTTGATCGTGTTGTCATCAATCACCAAAAAGAGGGAGATTGTAAGGAAAATGGACCCTATGCCCATTTATTTTAGATTTTGGTGTTTGATGAACAACACAACCAAGTTGGACTAATGAATTTGCAAGTGATTGTTTTGTAGTTCAATAGGGTGCAAGACGTCACTTGGACGAAGACGATGTGATGATCCGATGATCAACACCATAAGCAAGACCTTAGAAGCACAAGAGAAGACCTAAGATAACAAGCAAAGTCCAAGAATAATGATAGGAATCAAGTCGTACACAAGATCGCGAAGAAACGAGCTCACAGAAGTGACCGGACGCTGGACCAGACGCTGGTAGCATGATGTCGGACGCCCCGATCAAAAGGCTCGGCAGCAGCAGCGACGGACGCTGGACCGGACGCTGGCGGCAGATCGACCGGACGTAGGACAACAGAGTCCGGTCGAGTCCAGAGTGGTAAAAATACGACCGGACGCGTCTGGTGGCATGTGACCGGACGCTGGCAGCGTCCGATTAGTGGATCACGGCTCCAACGGTCGGACGACCGAACGCGTCCGATCAGGACGACCTGAGCGTCCGGTCAGTAGCAAAAAAACAGGATTTCGTCTCCAACGGCTACTTTCTCAGTGGGGCTTATAAATACAACCCCCAACCGATCAAATGAGGTAAGTGGAGCTGAGGAAACATATCAAGGATGTTGATACACCATTTTAGTGATCTCCACTTGCATAGTGCTTAGTAATTCATTAGGTGATTAGCGTAGGTGCTTTGTGAAGTGCTTAGGTTAATTAGACCACCGCTTATGCGCTTACTCTAGGTTTAGGTCTAGTGTTTAGTGAGGTTTTCATACCTCTTACCACTCGGTGCTTGCGCGTACCATTGTTGTACATCGGAGGGGCTTGTAGTCTTGCGAGATCACACCAACCGTGTTTGTGGTGTGGCCGCCACCGTGTACCGGAGGGAACAAGGCCCGCGGCGTTTCGGCCGGAAGCTTGATAGTGAAAACGACGGGGAGCATCCGGGAGAGGCTTGCCGGAAGGCACGTCAGAGACCCACTTGTGCGTGGGAAAGGCCCGTGGCTATCCACGGAGTTACCCGACCGGGAGCTTGGCCCTTGCGAGGGATTCCTTGCGAGGGGTTCCAACGAGAACTAGGGGGAAGCTTGCGTGCTTCTCGATACCTCGGTAAAAATATCGGAGTCGTCAACGGGAGTTTGCATATCTCTACCTTGCTCTTTACCTTTCGCATTTACATTGATTGTACTACTCCTTTTGCGGTAGAGATACTAACACATTAGCAAAACCGTAGTTACACATTTAGATAGTTTATCTTTTACATATATTTTGCTAAGATTAGAAAAAATATGCCATAGTTTAAAGTTAAAATTTTAAACTGCCTAATTCACTCCTTCTTAGACGTCACGGTCCTCCCCCCGTCCTCCTTTTGCCCGTGTGTGGTCCTTCATAAAAAAGGTGCGTTGTCTTTCAGCTTCTCTCAGTCTCCCCCGTACTTGGATGGTGATAATGCTCTCTATGTGTTTGTTGAATTGTCTGAGTAAAAAAGGTGCGTCCAGATTGGAGCCTGGATTGTGTGGTGTTCAGATTGCAGTCAGAACTCAGATGCCTTTTGCTTCTTTTTACTATTAATTGCATACTTTAATAAATGTTGCGATAACAGATAATATGCTGCATGAAAAGTAGACTTTTTGTCATATTATAGCAATTTCACTAACCTCTGGGGCTAGAACTTCGACTGCGTACAACAAATTTGATCCTGGACATATACCAAGCTGGATCATGGAACCAACGAGTTAAGAGAGTGTGTGGCCACCTGGAATCCAGAAATTGCACTAGATAAACAATATAAGGACATACCTCTGTGATATCTTAAAAGAAGCCAATAACATCAGCCACACGCAGTGATCTTCCTTTGCTGTGGATTCTTAGTTTCTCCACATCCGTAACAAAAGCTCTTCCAATAACAAAAGAAAAACATGTCCTTCTACTAACCTGTAGAAATTATGAAGGAAAGAAACAGAAGGCCATTATTCAGTTTTCTAAAATAGAGAGTAGACATGAACTCATTGAAATAAATGCAAAGTAACAGCATAATTTATTGGAAGTAGCGTTCTTTTTTAGGCCAAAGGCATTCACCCAGCTTTATTAGAAAGCGTAACGAACACCCACAGGTCCAGAGACTGGGATTACCAAACTTATTGGAAGTAGTGTGTGCAATTGTAAAGAGTCATACTTTGTAACTAATTGAGCTACACTAGAATATTGCTTCACTAGCCTACAGAACACATGTACAGCCAAATTTAATGCCATTTCTTTCTCCTGCAGAGGGGAAAACTGAATACAATGTCAAGGCAAGAACCAGCTCACAAGGTCTTATTATTGGTTTATGGTGAAAAAAAATAATACAAGTGTCAGGGTACCTTTTAAGAGCTGGTAGAGCGAAATTCTTCCCATAATTTCCTAAAGTCCGACTCCAATTCATTTTCCCCCTGAGTACAAGAGAAATAATGTTAAGATTAGGGATGTAAGTCCCACAAGGTCATCGGGTCGACCCAAACTTGATAAAATGAACTATAAGAGGTACAGACTTTTGTTATCAGGTCCAAGTGCTATACAGTGTCCAAGAAAAGATAGCTGATAACATACTTAACTAACAGTATTTGTTCCTTTACCAAGTGATTATATAGTTAGTTTAGACAAAAGATAGTATAATGGCAAGTGCATGAATAAGTCACTGTTCTTTCATGGTACTGTAAAATTGGATCCTGTGTTGATCTTTTTTCTGAAAGAACTATTTTGCCTAGATCAGAAAATTTGGCTTCCCAGGAGGCACCAGTGGTGTCCGGTGCTACACCGATCACCACACCGGTGCTCACCGTGACTAGTGTGCTTAACCGGTGCACACCGGTTACCATGGTGCAAAGACGGCTGCAGAGGCTGCGGTGAGGGTCTGCTCTGCACTGAGCTGCAAACACCGGTCACCACCGGTGCCGTGACTAGTGCACCCAACCAGTGCACACCGGAGTAGGCGGTGCAGCTGGAAACGGCTCAGACCGGACCGGTAGTCACCAGTGCCACGACCGGTGCCCCCGCGATGGGACGACCTGTGCTCCACGAACAATAGCTAGAGATCCAAAAATCAAACGAATTTCGACCAAATCAAAAGGTCTTGCTCTCAAACTTTGCACAGATGATCACGATCGAGTTGGTGAGCTAACTATAGGAGATCATTACCCGAAACAAATTCAAACTCCGGAATCGCTGATCTTGTGCAAGAACACGGTTTTTCTCAAAAAAAAAAAATCAGTCCCGATCTATGAGCTCGTGTGGATTTAGATGAGTTCACATGGTGATAATGATCAACACACGTCCTAGCTCATCTCTCAGAACAACCGGAGCCAACTATTTACCGCCGGGTACAACAACGAATTTTTATCCAGCTCTTACATTTTCTTTATCAGCCGGTCCAATACGTACCGGCGCATAGGCCGTTCTGGCCCGACGGTGTAATCTATTTCCACCGTCATGACTTGTGGATCCGGTGCTGAAATAGACCCCAATTATCTCCACTAGATCAAACACCCAGCCAAGGGTGAATACTCTTTTCACCGCCAGTTCAATTGTCCACAAACCGACAGTGAAACACTTACACCGCTGGATGTGTAAAAAATGGATGGGATATGGGTGAGGGGATTCCCATTTCTGTAGTAGTGAATATGAAAATTTTTGGTGTACTAGCTAATGCTGCATTAGCCTACTTTGAACGTTGTGCAAGTCTACATTGGAGCCTCTGCTAGCAACCAAACCTGGGCACACAACACTAGACAAGCCTGGATATAGGCTAAAAGCATTCTCGAACCAATTATTTATGTCACGTCTCCTAAAAGTCTATATAGGTGATGTCCTATTTCTAGTAGTGTAGTTTTTTCTTCTTCTCTCATCAGATTACCGACACCTTTAAAGTGGTTAGAGGAGAGGGGGTGGATCTCCTACATTTTGGGGGGTGGGGGGTGGATAGCCAATACTCACAAATCGACTTCTCCCTTGGCCAATTCGTCCAAGAAGCACATTGTTGTGGTTCTTGTGAAGCAGGAGCCATGCCACGGCCAATGTCCCTCTCCCCTGAGAGCAGGTGCTTGGGGAGGCATGCTTGCAGCATCGATGCATGGCAGGGGATTGGAGACTGGTGGTGCCGGTTAAGGGAAGTAGCTGCAGGTCTCTCGTGACCACGGCTGCAGTGTAGTGGGTCACCGGTGTCGGCGGGATGTTGGATCTGAAGGTGGAGATGGCCCTCACTAACTTCTCTCTCATCTAACCTCCGCCCTCCGGCAAGCAACAACAAGCCTAGTGAGGAGTGGATAGGGATGGAAGAAACAATTTTTATTTCTTATGGGCGACCTAAGGACTACTTTTCATCTAAAGTTTGTATATTGGCTCATAATGTGCCTAGACTACTTTGGTGGTCTTATGGACTGATTTTTTTTTCTAATATTGTGGCTGTCCTTATAACCATGGGCGTTTCACCTTTGGTAACAATTCAATGGACCATATTGGCCATATTTTCCATCAATTATATATATATCAAAACTCATGCACCAATCAGTAATTTTTGTGATAATTGAAAACATGGAGAAAAGTTGTTCATTATTACTTGAGAATACAAGCAAAATACAATACAATTTTAGAGTAACATATTTCTATTTCCCAGTAGAACCCAAGAACAACCATAGGACTATTGTCGTTCTACACTGGAGCAAGAACATAGTACATTCATTTTAGCTATATGACAATACTTATTAAGTTCCATCAAGCATCCTATATAGTTGTTGACTTGATTTTGGGTGGTATCACCATGTCCTTAAAGAAGACTCTGATTATTATTTCAAAAGCACATAATATATCTAATAATTACTTATATGGCTGTACCACCACTTGATAAGCTTCAAGCTTCATTCGGGTATCGGTTCCACGAATAGTAGTTGTATCATTTCTTTGAGTGCTTCTGAAGAAGTCAATGCATCAAGATCCTTGTACATATTATCCGTGGTTCTTGAAAAGTCAAACACTATTCGTGGCACAACCTTTGGTAGTTCTTTCAGTGCAAGGCCTTGCTCTAACATATCCTTCCATGAATCTTCAGTAAGTTCTTTTATCTTTTCACATGCATCATTCATTGTTGTTCCATGCTTCTTCATGTAACAATGGACAGTCGAGGCACTGTGGTCTTTTGTTTGCTCACGCTGCCTCGTAGTAAAGAAAGAATGTCAGGTGTGCTATAACAGAAATTAGATAATTAATGCTCCTAGCGTTGACATTATATTAAAATAGATCTACATCCAGCTTCATTGCAGATGTAAACATTGTCACGAATATTATGAATAGAATCTACCCAATTCATTAGACAGCGCCCAGTACTGAAAGGAACTCAAATTTACATATTTTGCACAAAGTAATATACTTTCTCGAACAAACCCAATGTTATACTTGTTTAAGGATAGAGAAAGACCTTGGTTGATATGACATCATTGGAGAGCCGTACAAATGTACCAAAAGATGTTAGAAATTGAGGATAGCTCAAAAGCCACTTGAAAGTCTCCTTTGTTATTATATCACCCATTCCAACATATGCAGCACATGTTAGAGCGATGGATCCAATGCTTTCTGCTGAAACTTGAAGGTGTTCACTCATTGTGGGCACATAATCTTCATCACGCCATTTTATTTCCTTGCAGTATGTCTGAACTAAGCGCTCCATCTATATGAAATATGGAAACGTGTGAAAGTTACTTATGATTCTGATATTGTTGCTGTCAGATATAATAGGGTGCTTGAAAAAAAGTAAAGATTGGTTGCTTAAGTTCCACCGTTTGGATATCTTTTTTTGATTTTCTTGTTTATGAGCAATACAGTTACCAAGACACAATTACTAGCAAATCAGGCATTTCATGAATAACTCAAGACCACATGTATCCAAGTCATGGAATAATCTTATGACCGATTAAGATATTATGCATAAAGAACTCCAGTTGTATTAGTTTTTTTAGTTAATGGAAAAAATCCACTCAAGAAGCATCGGACTAGTTCTTACAAACACACGTCCATGTTTTAACTTATTACAAGCACTCCATTTTATTAATATTTGGCAACTAAATTTATCTACGGCTTTTTCTTCACCTACGACTGCAGTCATAAGTCTGTTTTCTGGCTGCAACTCCTGATGATAAAAAGTACAGTATTCTTTATCTTTTTTAGACGACAATAGAATAGTCACATCTCAGCCTCAGCATTCTTTACCTAATGTTCAAATTCGATGTAGAATATCTTTTGTTTTATTTTTATGTCAATGGCATAATTCATTATTATAGAGCATAATATTTAATTTCTAGCTGATTATAATGATTGTGTTCCTTGAGAATGCTCAAGCATATATAAAGGCACTCATAAGAGGGTATATATATGTAGAATACTTGCCGCCTGTTTTAGATAAAGCACACGATAGCTCTTCTCTGGCCCTAACACATCCTCAAATGACAGAAATGTCTCCAACAGGAACAAGTAGAAACCCTTGATGTACTCTGGAAGGAGATGTATTGCACTTTCATCCCATCTGCATTTTATAAAATTAGAACTTTGTTTCCTATAGTATTGAAGCTGTCCAAAGAGAAAGTTACATGCATTATCATGTAATTTCAATTAAAATATTATTATTATTGACAAGTGATCTCTAACTTTCCTTGAACAACATTATTATTTGAGGATATCGTCAATTTTGTTCCTCGTATAAGTTTGTTTGATGCTTTCCTTACTTTACATCTTGCATTATAAAATATATATCAATGATTTCTGTAATTCAAATTTGTTCTATACTCTGTACATTTTGTCCTCTTTTATTTTACTGAAACCATTGTAAAATGATGCAAGGCACATGGCATGCCATGCGTATGTGTGTATATTGGTACCAAAAGGGCTGTAGTCCTGGACACATCATGAAATGTCATCCCGTTACAGACCCACAGAGAAAACTTCAATTTCTTTCATTTCATTTGTATGTAAATCATTGGCATGCCATCTAATATGTATTAAATAGTTAATACATGTACTATTTTTAAAATAAAAATTATCTGACATGTGGTTTGGAAGATTGTTACCTGCCAAGTGCTTCAGCGAACTTTGTGCACTCTTCAGTGGTACCATATGTGTCAAACATATCATCAATTATTGTAATGAGACCTGTGATCTTTGTTAGTATAATTCGGGAACGAGAGTATGGTGGATCATAGCATGCTCCATTCATCCAGAAATACATCTCTACTATCCTATCTCTGACAAAAGTCATCTTTGATTTGGCTAGGAACTCCTTCCACCACCTACCACATGCATGTTGAGATAAGCCAATTAAAACTTAGGACTGAATAAATGTACAGCACCATCAATTCGAAGTGACATGAAAAATCTTACACTGTGCAATGCTTTAACTCTTCACAAAAAACAAGTTGTTGAAGGTTAAAATTCAATTTTGCAAACTCCAATATGTCTTCATTCCGTGTAGCCTCTTTTTCATAAATGGGTATGTAATTTCTCGCTTCTAATATTCCAACTCTTCTAAAAAGAGGCGTATGAAGGGAAGAAGACACCTCCTTTGCAAATGATGTTCTGGAAGTACAAGGATACCTTGAAGGCAACGTCTAGTGAAACAAATTGCTTCATCTAGTACCTTCTCTCCATGCCTCCTCAAATATGCTGCATTATATAAGCTTAACAAGCTTCTCGTGTCAGCATAAGCAAAGCTACCTTCTTCTGTTTTGAAGTTCAGAAATACATCTGCAAAATTAGCTCATGAATAATAGTCACGTCCTATTTCAATTAAAACATTTTATCTGATATTTGGTCTTGATTGGAAGATCTTATACCTGATGACACATCATAACCATTCTTGCGAAGAAGATAAAACCGCAGTGAAACTAAGTTAAGATCTTTGTCATTGTAATCGGAGATGTAAATATGGTGCAATAACTTGTCTATCTCATTCTCGTAGTGGTAATCCAGTCCAAGTCTTTGCAGTGTTAATATAAGATTCAATGTTTCTGGTAATTCAGTTGAGTCCTTCAAAACCTTCCTAACATCTTCTCTTAATACCTCTGCTCGCTCTTTCATGTATGCTTGCTGTGGAGGACAAGTATGGTCAATTTCATCACATATATTCCCTGATCAAAGCCTATTTCAGCCCTGATCATCTCGACATGCAATTGTTACCTGAGGTGCAGTTGGCGGCTGGTATGTGAGGAAGAAATCACCCCACAGGCTTGGGTGGAAGGTAGTAGCCTTTCGCAGCTCCTCTGCCTTGCTGGAATGATGTGCTGGAGGAGACGCCATGTTCTCAATTCCAGTCTAGTTAATATTTTCTTGCTGATATTTCTGATGGATTTGCTGATGCCTATAGGTGTTGCATTGCAGAAGTATTTATAGGGGATGCAGGCATGCCGCCAAGCAGTACTGCACCAGCCAGGCACCTTTGTGACAATGACAGCGGTCTCTTCGTACACACGGCTTTTTTTTCTTTTCTGACGTACTGTGTGTTACGTTTGAAATGTTGCCCTGACAGCTAACAGCTTGTTTCTTTTTAATTAAACGGCTTATGTTTTGAGAGAATAAATATGTTCCAAGTGCTTATTATATCTTCTAACTTCTATATCTTAATAAGAGACCTGAACTACGATTTTTTTTGGCATCTCATATAGCTACATCATCAACACATCCATCATGCAGATGTTACTCCCTTTGTCCTATAATACTCCATCCATTTCAAATTATAACTCATTCCAACATTCATGAAGATTCATTCCAATTAGCGGCTTATATAGCATTTGTTTTTCCTCTAGTCGATCCTATCCATCTGTCTCGGTCAACGTCCATGGTTCTCTCATGCTTTAGGGTTCTTAGTTTTTTTTGAGCAACTTTAGGGTTCTTAGTTAGGCTGCGCTATCGTAATTGGGCTATATCCAGTGATTGTGCAGTTTTATAGAATTAAGTTTTACTTTGGCACATATTTTCGCCAACACCATTTTCTTCGCCCATTTTTTGAAACCGTTGCTGATGATTTTCACCAACAGCTACAAACCGTCGGTGAAAATGAGTTCCACTCTTGGTTTGTATTACGAACCATTGATGAAAAATGGCCCGATTTTCACCACCGGAAAATCATCACCATCAGTTTAAAAAATGGAGGTGAAAGTGATGTTGGTGAAAATGATTTATGTAGTAGTGATCAAACTCCTCCAATGCCATGGAGATAATTATCAAACCCCAAAATTTCTGATTTTGGGTTGTGCATAGAAAATACTAAATAAAATGAATTATTTTAATATTTGGATAAAATTTATCAAGTTTAGTTTGAGCTAGCGCAAATTTAGTTATAGGAAAAATGTGAATTTTCAAAGTTTTTTAATTTTGACGGGCGTTTGGATGATGTGATGTTTGCTTGTTGCTTCTTTGTGTGTTGAGAATGAGCAAAGTCTTTAAAATACGTTAGTAGATCGATTTTCCTTCTCCGGCACGCCTTTATCTTTTTCTACAATCAAATTATTTGTTTCTTGGCTCAAGTTTTCGTTGGGAGCTTCCTAAAATCTTTTCTTTGTAACACAAATCACTCCTTTCAATTCCTCGTCCGTCAATCAATTGTTACAAACTTCTCGGAATTTTTTTAGCTTTTTTAGAACTTGTTCCTACTTGTCTGTGAGTATAATTTAATTTTTAGATGCTCTAAATTATCTTATCATGGGTTCCAAATACTTTATTTGGGTTTCTCATGTTCCATAATGTTTCTGAAAATTTTCCCTGAATTTTCAGAGCTTTCGGAGTATTTTTCACGGCTTAAATAATAATTCTAAACTTTTCTAGAATTATTTTATCCACAAAATTAATTAATTTCGAAAATAATAAATATCTCATTTTTACCTAATGCTCAAAGGCAATGTGCAATAATCCTAATAAATCATAAAGGCCTATACATTTATTTACTAATGTGCTTTAATGATTATTTATGCCCATTACTAAATTTGGAGGGTGCAACATCAATTAGTATCATATTGCTAGTTGATGTAGATGTGGGGAGTTTTTCTCCCAATAAATATGTACCAACCCCTTGGGTAAGCACATCAAAACTACTGTAAGGGAAGCCCTTAGTTTGAAAAATCCCTCGTGTAGTAAATTAGATTTTTCTCCTCCTTCTCTGTCGCCGTCGCCGCAGCTCTGCCCAACCCAACCATTCTCTCCTTCGTGCAACAAGTCGAGCCCACCCCTGGGCAGCTGCTGTTGCTATGGCCGTGTGGTGGCTGTACGGAAGGCCAAAGGATGAAGCAAATCAAATTCAAGTATAGTTTCAAATATACTTCCTATTCGAATAAAAATGGATAATTTTGATAGGCTTTCCAAGATAAACTTTACAACTTTAAAAATACTTTTATTTTTTAATTTTCCTTTCTTTTATTTCAAACCATTCTTAAATTTATTTTCAAAAGCATTTTGAATCCACTTTGAATTTTGGATTCAACCACTTATTGTAATAAATCAAATGCATCGGCATGTATGTACATCCATGTTGCTACTCCTTATGATGAATTTTAAATTAATGAAGAATTTTTATTTTCCTATATTTCATGAGCACCAAAATTTATAAATAAATCATTTTAGCTCTATTTCAAAAGAGACAAATTTTAGTGTGTTACAATTCTACCCCCTTAAGATGAATCTCGTCCTCACGATTCGGAAGATAGTGATAAAAGAGATATGGATACTTTGCCTTTATTCGATCTTCATTTTTTTCCAAGTTATATATTTCATTAAGAATCATTCTAAGATCCTGGTCGGCTACTCTGCATAAATATGATCGCCTCTCATATTGAAATCCTCCAATGGTGTTTGCTCCTTTACACTGACATATGAAAACTCACAGTTCACATTACTATCCTCATAGGATGCATCTTCTAATAGGTCATTCTCGTATTCCTTAGGTGCAGGTTGAATACCCTCATACTCGATTCTTTCTCCTGACGGTGTGGTTAGAAGCACCGAACGTTGAGCATACTTAATCACTCCTTTACAAGCAGATAACCATCCATTTCCAAGGATAACATCAATGTTCATTAACTCCAAGACTATAAGGTTTGCCTCGAAGTTCTTTCCTTTTATGTTAAGACTAACTTTTGGGCATAAGCGGTTTGCTTTCTTTTCTCCTCCTAGAGAGTTAACTATTAGGGGTTTCCTCATCGGAAGCATAGTTATCTTATGTTCTTCCATATATTCCCTAGAGATGAATGAATATGACGCACTAGGGTCAAATAACACCATAGCAGTGTCTGAGCTTACTGCAATCAAACCATAAACAACCTCCTTAGCTCCATGAGTAGTAATCAGATCCACATTGTTCAACCAGCCTTGAATGTAGTTTCGCTTTAAGTTACTGCCTTGCACCTACTCCTTATGGACGTTCTGTTCTGACTCCTGCTGCTGTTGATTCTGGCTTTGATTACTCTCAGCAAACCTCTCAAAATAATCGTTCTTATAGTGTTCAATCTCACCACAATCATAACATCCCTTACTAGTAGAAATATTTATCGTTATCAAGGTGTTAGTGGGAGATGATAGACATGGCTCTTGAGAACTAAAATGCTGCACTTCATTATTAGGTAGATGATACTGATCTTAATCATTACTTTCAAGCAGCTTTATAGGGTGTGACTGATATTCTGGTTGTGTAGCGAAACAGAGATGAGTATTTCTTAACTAGCGTTGAAGGTCACGCTTTCTCTTCTTCTCTTCCATCTCTCAACGCTTGTTCTCAATTACAATTACCCTGTCCACCAATGTTTGATAGTCGACATACACCACGGTCATCAGCTGTAGTTGTGAACCATCATTCAGTTCTTTCAAAAAATGTTTTGCTTTTTAGCATCACTATCCATCTCTTTTGGAGCACAGCGTGACAATTGAGTGAACCAGTTACGATACTCACACTGACATAGATCCTTGCTTCAAGTTGATGAACTCTTCTTGCTTAAGTTCTACCTCACCTAACAGGACATGGTATGACCTGAAATTCTCCTTGAATTCCTACCAAGTGATAGCAGGAGCATTGTTGGGACACCCATACTCAAATGACTCCCACCAATCCTGGACAGTTCCTTGCAGTTGACAGGAAGCATAAAGCACATTTTCACGGTCGTCACACTGAGCTATGTCCAATTGTCGCTCCACAACTCTAAGCCAGTCATCAGCTTCTAGTGGGTTACTTGTAAGAGAGAATGTCGGTGGGTGTCCCTTCATAAATTCACTACGCTTGTCAATAGGTGGTGCTTGATGCGGGTTATTCAACACACTTTGAGCAATGGTCTGTAATAATTGAGTCTGCGTGATTAAAGTTTGCTCTATAGATGGGAAATTGGATGACGGTGGATTAGAATTGGCAGGATTCCTTCCAGCACCTTGTGAAGCACTTCTCCTGACAGCAACCATCTGTTTTCAACATGTATGAATTAGAACTCAGTCGTTCATAACATCCTTAATTGTAGCTTCAAGAGATGACAAGATAGGATTGATGGCAATTGAGACAAGAGAACACAAAACCCCAGAGATAACTAATACTTCCACACGAAGCGCTAGAATGTAAAAAACTTCATCTTACAAATCCTTCAACTTAGCTACTCCCTTAAGAAAAGATCAACTAAGGGACATAAAAAGGATAGCTTGCACCTTCTTCTAGATGATCTAACTAGTAACAAGACGTTCTGACATCCCAACGAGACTATTGTGTATATGCAAGGACAAGAAATCTGAAATTCATCGTGGGATGAAAAACAACAGCGTAGTAAAACAACTATAAGTCTCATTCTATTAATCCAATGAAGTTGTAGCTTATACCATTGGAAAGCTTATCAAATTCTCCATAACTTCCTTATAGAACACTTTTCTAAATTCTACAGTTAACTTGGTCTAAAATAGTACACAAGAGAAACTATCCCAGATTCCAAACAGCACAGATCCATCACCTTGTGATTTTGGTATCTCCATAAGCCAAAATAGCTATCAGGCGGATTCTTTCGCTTAGAGAAAGATATTAAAGTCTACTATTGTCCAGAATTTTCTCATGATTTATGATCGTCTAAAATCAGAGATATAAGTCGAAGAGTGCAGACTGCTCCAAAAGACAGGATAGAGGAAACAGAAAAATACCATAACCCAACTATTTATTGCACTGATCCTTAATGATAAGATTTAAAACTTTGTAGTTCAAAGTTTTTTTTTCATTTGAGTTCATTTAGTAGCCAAAATATCCAATACAAGATTACGAAATATTGATATAAAACTATAACATATTA